AAATAAATAAAATGTGTAAATGCATTCAGAACATTTTTGCTTTGCAAATCTACTCAATTTCAAAGCTAAATGCACAGAAGTGCATTTACTATTGCTGTTATTGTTGAGTATTTACATTGAGTTATTGTCATTCTTTTCAGCACTTTCTTTTCTGAGTAAATTAGGTTTAGTATATTATTATATTGCCTGGAGCGATTAACATCACTCTTCTACTGCTCGTGGAAAGCAGGTGGTGCCCAAACTTTTATTAAGAGGGATATTCAAGCATGTCATTAATTGATGGCAAGAGTTATTCATCAGATGATGAAGAGCGCTGTAAGCGGGCATATATCCAGACACGAGATGCAGTTGAGTGTAATTTCATCAATTTAAATATCTGGGACTGGCAGTAAAGTGATGCTGCACAGTAACAGCATAGTTTGCTAGCATGAGGGAGTCTACTGAATCCTCCACAATCTAAAGCACATGCATTCAAGGAGAAATATGTCAGGAACTAATTTTGTAAATGTATTTACAATGCTGACTAATTTGCATTATAGAGTGCTGCAGGAATGAGTCCTAAAACCTTCTGGTTCCACTGTCAATGGGTTTTATGAATGTGGTTTTGGTTAAATGTCTGAAATAAAGTCTATGGTGATCACAAGCTCAAGGTGTTTTCACATTTTATTCTACAACATAAAACACATCAATACACCCTGGTGAATTTTAAAGCTTTTACTTGTCTTAAAAAATATAGGCCTAATTGATACCAAGTGGCTAAATGGGACTACAGAGGCTGTCGGGGAAATAAACTAAACTCATCTACTCACTAGTGGCTTTTACAGTCTAATCACTCTCTTGCAAACTATTCTAACTAAAACTTTCAGGGAAAATACTTTTTAATTAAAGCACTGATGGAAGCTTACTGATGGTGGCATTGAAGTCATGCAACCATGGTGTAGTGTGTTATAGCCTAACTTTAGCTTTTTAACTTCAGTGACTGCATTTAGGCTTCGAAATTCATAAAAATTGTGTTTATTTGTGACGATTATCAAGATGAACAAAACATAAGAATCATAAACTTTTCTTGGTGACAGCTTACTTTCCAAAAGTCAGTGGAAACATACTATTAAGGTTTTGTCAAGGGAACCAGGGTGATGCAAACTTAGAGGATGTTCTACAAATGAACGTCATTCCTGCAGCACTCTATTCCTTTAGTGAATCAGGTGCTTAAACAACAGAGTCAGATGGCACATACGCACCTTGCTGTCCTCTTGAGAGTCGCTATCAGAGTCGCTGTCTCGGTCTCTCTCGTGCCGAATGCGCGGCTCGAGATCGCTGTAATCTCCTTTAGCGTAGCTGTGGACATGCAGCACCTCCGCGGGGCTCAGCGTTCTCTGGAAGATGTGCTGGACCGCAGGTGGACACATCTGACTGCCGCCCGCTGACGCAGAGCTGCACCGCGACTCGCCCAGCTTAAGGTTGATGGCGCTGCTGCTGGGTTTGATGATGACATCATACGTGTGGGCGGAGTTAACGCTAGGTTTGTGTTTAGGGCTGACGCTGATGTTGCTGAGTTCAGTGATGACATCATATGTGAGGGCGGAGTTAATGCTGGGTTCGTGTTCAGGGTGGACAGTGATGCCGCTGGGATCTGTGGTGGCATCGCAGGTGTGAGCGGAGCTAATGCCGGGTTCAGGTTTAGGGTCGACGATGATGTTGCCGAGTTCTGGTTGGACATCACAGCTCTGGGCAGAGCTAATGCTGGGTTCATGTTTAGGGCTGATGGTGATGTCGCTGGGTTCTGTGGTGACATCACAGGTGTGGGCGGAGTTAACACTGGGTTCGTGTTTAGGGTCGACGATGATGCTGCTGAGTTTTGGTTGGACATCACAGCTGTGGGCGGAGCTAATGCTGGATTCGTGTTCACTGACAGTGATGTTGGTAGGTTCTGGTTGGGCATCACAGGTGTGGGCGGAGTTAACACTGGGTTCGTGTTTAGGGTCGATGATGTTGCTCAGTTCTGGCTGGACATCACAGCTGTGGGCGGAGCTAATGCTGGGTTCATTTTCAGCTTTGGTGGTGATGTTGGTGGGTTCTGGTTGGGCATCACAGCTGTGGGCGGAGTTAATGCTGGGTTCTTTTTCAGCACTGATGGTGCTGTCACTGGGTTCTGGTTGGACCTCACAGCTGTGGGCGGAGCTAATGCTGGATTCATTTTCAATGCCGATGTTGACGTTGCTGGGTTCTAGTTGTACATCACAGCTGTGGGCGGAGCCAATGCTGGGTTCATGTTCAGCGCTGATGGTGATGTCACTGGGTTCTGTGGTGACATCACAGGTGTGGGCGGAGTTAATTCCAGGTTCGTGTTTAGGGCTGACCGCGATGTCGTTGGGTTCTGGTTGGACATCATAGGTATGGGAGGAGTTAATGCCAGGCTCACTTGGACTAGGGATGATGGTATCTATAGTGCTGTCGCTGGGTTCAGCAGAGACATCACAGGTGTGGGCGGAGTAAATGCCATGTAGAGAGGAGATACTGCTGGTTACAAATATTAGAGGCGTGACGTAAGTGGCAGGGATGTCACTGGAACACGAATGGGCCGTGATGTCACTCTGCTGCGCATCAGTGAGGTCATCGTTTGGAGTGATGTCATCGGGCTTGCTTTGGACATCACAGCTTTGAGTGACGTGTTCGGACTGAGAGGTGACATCAATGCTCGGAGCCTCATCATCAGTGATGCTGTTTGTGGATTGTGAGGATGAGGTGACGTCGTTGGGTTCAGAGGGAGTGACATCATCTCTTTGCTGCATTGTGATATCACTGCTGGAGGTGGGGTTTGATGGCGAGAGCTCCACCTCCATGCAGGGAGGGGCTTGATTCTCTTGCTGTTGTGGAGGGGGCGTGTCTGTCTCCATCGTCTCCTCAGCTTGCGCATAACCTGCAGAAATACACATCGGTTGTTTTAGCCTTTTTATTACAGCATCGCCGGTGTATCATTTGCTGTATATGAGGCTCTACCTGGGTCATCGGAGATGGATTGTTCATTCTTGTCATCTGTCTCAGTCTGGCTGAGTTTGGCTTTCTTCTTCTCAACTTCGTCCTCTTTTTCTACCTTTACTTGATTGTCGTCAGGGCTGGGTCTGAGCCGTTTCTGCCCCACATTCTGCTTTGGAGTGCTACTGTATGAAGAGAAGGGAAATCAGAGGATTAAAAAAAACACCTTTTTCATGAACCATCATGAACCATCACCACTGTGCTCTATAAAGCATAAAATGTAGCCCTCAGGAGAAATGCGACAAATTGTGTTATACCGTAAAAATTAAAGAGCATGTTTATAGTATACTTACTGTCGGTAAGTATTTACTGAAAGGCAAAATGCATGTTTTACATTTTCAATTAAACTAGTTTTAGAAATGTAATTCAATTACTATATCTTTTAGCATATCTTTAATAATAATTAGGGATGCACCGATACCGATACTGGTATCGGTATCGGGCCCGATACTGGCCTCCTGTACTCGTACTCGTACTCGTTAAAATGCCCCGATACCAAACGCCGATACCACACAGCATGTGATAAGCCTATAAAGCATAAAATGTAGCCCTCAGGAGAAATGCGACAAATTGTGTTATACCGTAAAAATTAAAGAGCATGTTTATAGTATACTTACTGTCGGTAAGTATTTACTGAAAGGCAAAATGCATGTTTTACATTTTCAATTAAACTAGTTTTAGAAATGTAATTCAATTACTATATCTTTTAGCATATCTTTAATAATAATATTTTGAAAAAGCTTTTATTTTTATATTTTCAGCTTTCATACAAATTTTAGTTTTATTTGGTTATGTGCATTTGTCTTTTTTTACTTTGTTTTTTATAATATTTCTATTTAGCTTTAAATTTTTATTTCAGTTTTAGCAATTAAGTAATAAGTTAGTAATAAGTTAGTTGCCAATGCAACATTTCTAACCTTCGTCCAAGTTTGTTTTCACTTGCTATGTTTTATTTAAGCTCTACTGCAAAGAACGGAATTTGTTTTTAATAGTTTTAGTCTTAACAACACTGCTTCATATAATAATGCTTAATGAAAATTTGTGTTCTTAAAGGGGTCATACGATGCGATTTCAAGTTTTCCTTTCTCTTTGGAGTGTTACAAGCTTGTGTTGTAACCATTATATAAAAACAATAAGGCACTTGACGTCACATTGTATTGTACGTCACTTTGCTGCATGCCATACCTAACAACACCCCTCAGCTGTCACTATACACACAATACAGCATAACGTGAATAGTGCTGTACAAATACATTCACATAGCCACTAAAAAATGAAAAAGACTGATCTTGAGATTTTATTAATCGTCATCAGGATCCATAAAATAAAACGGAACAATAAATGAAGACCTTTGGGTTTCTGTGTGTAGTTGACAATGTTTTTTTTCCCCCTGAAGAAAAGCTCCTTCTATGTCCATGTTTTGCAGTGGTTAGGTTTGTATAGTAACATGTAATAGCCAAAAAATGTTTGGAATTATGTGAATGAGTACTTGAGCACTTCACATTCATAATGCACTGTGTAAGCAAATGAACCACAGACTAAAAGCAAAGCGAACTCCTATCAACATCTGAGATGGAGACTGCGAAAATGGCCACATTTTTTCTTTTTACACACCTGTTGATCTGCTCGGAGGTGCTGCTTGGTTCTTCATCACTATCAGGCTTCTTCTCCTCTACCTCCGGACCTCCTTTCTCTGCTTCTACATTCTCCTTTGCACCATCTGTTTCACTTTTCAACATTTCAGTCTTGTCCTCCTCTCCACTGTCCGTGTTTGCTTTCTGCTCCTCTCCAGCCTCTGCTTCTCCTCTCTTCTCCTGTGTTTCTGCTTTGCTGCTATCGCTGAGCTCTCCTGTCTCATTCTCGGTCTTTCCATCTGTCAGGAACTCTGCTGCCTCTGGCGTGGGCTTTGAGTGGTCGATGGGCGCACTGTCCTTTCCTGCTTTCCAAAGTTTATAGCGTTCCGGCTGGAACTTGCGAACAAACACATCCATGGATATCTTCACCATGTCCTTCCGGCAGGAACACTGAGAAAGAGACGCACATCAACAAACAAAAACATACCTGCGGTACCATACTTGCACTCATACTTGTACTCCAAAAATGAACTCAAAACTGAGGGGACGCGATGTATGCGAAATATCATACTAATGTCGCCAGCTTTCCATAATCGATCCAGCGCTGGGTGGCGAAGTTGGTGGATTCCGCACAGTTGAAGCCATGGTTAAACCCAGCGTGATATCCATACGGGAAGGTCACAATGAACTGGCCTGCTTCCTGTGTGACCTGATGAATAGAGTAGAAAGAAGACAAATCTTGAGATAAAATCAGGCATGACAGGATAAGATAATAAAAATCAAGCATCTGACCTTCTCAAAGGGTATCCCATACTTCCTCAGAATAGATGGTGAAATTAAAGTCATTTTGTGTCGCAGGAAGGCTTCACAACTTTGGGCACTTCCGGGGAAAAATCCTGCATGAATGAAAATTAAAAGAGTACTGAGTTAATTAATGAGCAGCTGAAGAGGAACAGGAACTAATGATATGTTTTCAGAAGACCACTGTACCTTTAGCAAGACGCTCTAATCGCTTCCCATGTTCTGGAGGCACAATGTACCTGTAGAAGAGCCCGTTTTCAATTCAAGACCAAGTAATAATGCTTTTAAAATCTCTTTAGGACAGTATGAATAGTATTAGGGTCAGTTAGCTTTTTCAAGCTGAAAAAAAGTCTCATTTGCTCACCAAGGCTGCATTTATTTGATCTGATATATGATTACAACTTAAAATAACTGCTTTCTATTTTCATATATATAAAATGTAATTTATTCCTGTGATCGAATCTGAATTTTCAGCATCATTACTCCAGTCTTCAGTGGCACATGATTCTTCAGAAATCATTCTAATATGCTGATTTGCTGCTCAAGAAACATTTCTGATTATTAGCAATGTTGAAAACAGTTCATAATTTTGTGGAAGCATGATGCATTGTTTTTCAGGATTCTTTGATGAATAGAAAGTTCAAATAGAAATATTTTATAACATTATAGATGTCTTCATTGTCACCTTTGATCAATGTAATGCATCCTTGCTGAATATAGTAATTTCTTTAAAAACAAAACAAAAACAAAACCAATGGTCAATGGAACAAAAAAATGGTCGTGAATATGAACAAATGAGCTTGTTTTTAAATGAAACTGCCAAAAAGTCTCAGATCCTGGTTTGAATCAATGTAATGACTAGTGGTCGACCGATATATCGCCAAGGCCGATATATCGACCGATATTTTGTATTTTTCAAATATCGGCATCGGCCGATGCGTTCGAGGTGGAACTTTTATTTAGCGCCTGAACACACAGTGCTCACATTCTTCCTCTTGTTCGCCGTCGTCGTTAACAGTTCTGTCTAATACGGATAGGTCGACCACTAGTAATGACTCAATGAATTGATCAAATGAACTGAGAATAGCAAAATATACTTAAAATAAACTATAATAATAACAACGAAAATGCTGACCAAAAACAAGATTTAGTTGTGACATTACCAGGACTTGGGTTCTCCAAAGTGAAGGTAGTTGATGCTGTAGAGATCCATGTCCTCTGTGTGCCAGGCGAACGTGCTCTTCCACATCCCGAAATAAAGATATGGAGTGTTGACTCCTTTGATTGTGATTCCACTCTCTCTCTCCACCGTGTCCAAAATAGTGTTCAGTAGGCCAATATTCCACTCCGTCACGTCCTGTATACAGTCACATACAGTGGTGTGAAAAAGTGTTGGCCCCCTTCCTGATTTCCTATTTTTTTGCATGTTTGTCACACTTTAATGTTTCAGATCATCAAACAAATTGAAATATTAGTCAAAGATAACACAGGTAAAAACAAAATAAAAACCTTCATTTAAAAACTGCATGTTGTGTTCACTTGTGTTATCTTTGACTAATATTTCAATTTGTTTGATGATCTGAAACATTAAAGTGTGACAAACATGCAAAAAAATAAGAAATCAGGAAGGGGGCCAACACTTTTTCACACCACTGTATATATCTGTAATCACTGTATAGCACTATTATCACACTGTAAACAATGGGTGTAACTGAAACATAATAGTAAAAAATATTCCATGAATATAAAAGGGCAGATTACTCACTGGATCGTAGAGGGTTCCACTGATATCTGCCCCATATAGTGGTGGATTGAATGTTAAATTCTTCCAATATTTCCTCTCTAGTTCATCAAAATCAGCATATCTGGGATTACAGAACCTGCAGTCGAGTTAGAGAACCTTTTTATTATGGTGACAGTCATGCATCAACTTCATGTGTCTCAGAGTGAAAAAGAATATACCATGAGCAATAATGTCAATGGATTTACTTTTATGCATCAAGAAAAGTAGGTTAGCATATTATTGGATAATATTATGTTTCTCTGTTCAATCAGACTTACATTACCATTCAAAAGTTTGGGGTCAGAACTTTTTTGAATTAGCACTTTTGAAAGAAATTAATACTTTCAAGGATGCATTAAATGATCAAATTATATTTGTCAAAAAAGGTTTCTGGTATAAATGTACATGCTGTTCTTTTGAACTTTCTATTAATTAAAGAATCTTGAAAAAAAAAAATGTATCACCATTTTCACAAAAATGGCCCTGTTTACAACATTGATAATAATCAGAAAAGTTTCTTGAGCAGCAAATCAGCATATTAGAATGATTTCTGAAGATCATGTGACACTGACGACTGGAGGAATGATGCTGAAAATTCAGCTTTGCATAACAAGAATTAATTATAGTTTAAATATATCACAATAAAAATCATTTATTTTAAGTAATAATAAAATTGTACAATATTACAGTTTTTCCTGTAATTTTTTATTAAACGAAAGCAGACCCAAAACTTCTGAATAGCAATGTAGTAGTCACGTCAAAGGTGGAGAATGTTAGTATTACTTAAAATAATTAGCATTTATTAATCCTGCATAATAACACCAGGAATATTTATTAAGAAGTCTTTAAAGAATCCTTTGCTGCTCACTTGTCTGTGTTGGCAGTTTTGCGAAACTCGCGGACGGTCATCGGCTTCTTCTGGATGTTGTACTGAGTGAAGAGACCTGATTGGCCAGTGACCACCTGTTGAATCGGTGTGGGAATCACCAGGTCATCAATGTCATCGTATGTGCGCCGGGGCTTCCAGTCCTTTGGTGGCACCACCTGACAAACAAGCACATCAGTGAGCCATGCAAACCTACAATGATCCTCCACAACAACCAAAAAAAGCCTCTCACAGCAATTTGAGCTGAATACATTTTATACACTGACCTTAGCCATCCCGGCTCTGTGAGCCCCCTGCGACTCCATATATGCAATGTATCTGTTGAAGTCTTTGAACTCCTCTTTTGTGGGATGAAAGGTCATGATCCTGGTGGCAGGACTCTGGGAGCTTTGAGAGACCGAGTCCGAAGCCATTCTGCCACTTGGACTGTAAGAGAAACAGGAAGATGAAGATTTCAGCAACAAACACATAAACAAAACTAAACACGTAACACATCACCTAACCAACTAGTAAACTCCACATGTAAACCACCACTACTAGGCAAGACCTGTTTAGTTATAACACATATTCTTGCTCATTTAAAGTGATTCAAAATATTTGCATAACAAGAAAAAGATAAAAAATAAATACTTATTTAAGAAAACAATAAAAAGCTAAATTTAATTATTACTTAAAAATCTAAAAAATATATAATAATTAATTTCCATAAATAATTATAAATTTCTTACATTTAATTATAAAAAATTTTAACATCATATTTAAATATAATTAGAACCAATAAATAGCAGGTGTCCTCGCCAGAATCCCAGATAACCAATAATAATAAAAATAAGGGCAGAAAAAGTATAAATATTCCAACCTGAACTAAATACAAACAAATATTCAGTAAACACCAAGAAAAAAGTTGATTAGAGGACACTGATCACGTTTATATTGATTTAAACATGAAATAATACAACAAAATAACTTGTGACAGCTGACAACATGCTCATTGACTTTACTGACAGAAATACACTTTTAATTAGAACCATTTAAAATAAATTAACATTATATGATAAACCACATGCAACTTTACATACAGAAATACACTCACTGCACTATTTTATTCAAGCACACGCTATATAATAAAACATTAAGCCACCGTAGTGTTTAAGATTATGAATGTAGAAGCACCTGTAAACTCACACTAGCATGCTAGCGGACATTCGCCTGATAAACGCATCATATCTGACCATTCAGAGTGTTTAATGATAAAAGCATCATATTTATACATCTGTCATGATCTCATCACGAGGTTCTGCTCAGGACCACTGAAAGTTTTGACCCCGAAATCTCTCAAACTCACCGCAAAAAAACAACAACAAACACGCTGACGGCTAAAGGCGCTCAAATGAACACAAACTTACTCCTGTCACACACACACACACACACACCGCTTCAGCGCAACACACACACGCTCATATCCATTCACACGCTGTAAATAACGGCTTTTTGTAGTGTATAACTGTGTTATTACATGAATTATTGAGCCGCTCCAAACTTTGATGAGCATGGTGGCTAATTACTGTAAACACGAAATTCACACACTAAAATACGCATGAAATCACTCCACACACACAAACACCCGATCATACGTGTCAGGAGAGGACGAGAGGAGTTTACTCACGGGTGCCGCGGGCGAAGCTGACGGGTGTTGAGGGCGCAACTCAGAGAAACAGCGCAGAAAAAGACGATTGCAGATCAGACATGTCCTCCATTAGAGTGCAGCGCGACTGCGCATGCGCACACACTGTTGACAAAGATGGAAGAAGGCGTTCCCCTGCGCGCGGACCCTAATCAACTCACTCCGCATGAACCCTATGGGGCCATATAGATAGTATGGAAAATTCTCTCCATTTGAACCTTATGAGGCCATAGAATATGGATTGTAGATATATAATCTACACATGCTCCACATGCCATATATGATATAGATGCACAATCATAGGAACGGAAAGGAATAGATTATATAGCCTAGGTATTTTTGTATAAATCAATCTATATTATTGGCTATATGGATTATGGGGTCATAAAGACATAGAATAAACAAATAAAATGGATTAATGTAACACAAACTTCATTTAAGTCTTATGATGTCTTTATAGCACATATATAACCTTATAGATATTTATAAGGCTATAGATAATGTAGATCAAATGTATTTGTATATATTACTATGCATCCTAATGGGACCCTTTCCATGCATCTCATATAGAGTTACATATTTAAAAAAAAAAAAAAACTTAACTTGCATAGATAACATGATGTACCTACTGGCCTATGGTGTTTATGAATGTTTTATACATACAAATTTAACCCTATATATAGATCATATACAAAGCATAGACTTAGCCTTAAAGTGACTTATTAAATAGTCTGAACATGCTTATGTTTCAAATATTATACAGAACCACATGTATGAGTATATAGTATATGAATGTTATATAGATTATTTGTATAGATAACTCTGTATGCATCATGTAGTCATATAATTGTTTATAATATAGATTATACAATATTGTTTATCCGTGTAGACTAAATAGTTGTGTATACTGTAAATTATAAAGATTATATATCTGACTCTATACATCTCACCCGACTCATTAAATCCACATGCAACCATTTAGATGTGGTATACTGTATAAATATATAACTATAGACTTATTTGTATATCCCATATCATAGATCATCGTAGAGCCATGCATGATTATATAGAGAATAGACATTATTTATAAAACTGATATAAATATATAAATTCAATATATGTTACTTGTGCAAAAACATACAGTAATGCCTCTGTGCAATTTACTACATTTTGCATCTTTAATATCGAAAATAAATTTGAAATGACTATGGCCTGTTTTTTATTTTAACCTTAGGACAAATTGTTGATTTTCAGACCACTTGTTAAAAATGTGCACTTAAATTATCTGTGTATCTCCAGCAATAAACAAAGACATTGATCATTGTCTGCAAACTGGTAATTAGGCTTAATTATTTGTTAATTGTTAATCTACAATGGGAACAACATCTCTGACCTCAGACCAAAGGGACAATTTGTGCCTAATTAGTGAGATAATTAGCTTCCAAAAGAATTAGTAAACTTTGCTGTCCGGTCGCTGAGATTTTTGGAGGAGGACTAATGTCTCCAGGTGTTCCAGAACTAATGAATCATGTAGAACAGGAAGAATCCAGTCCACATGCCTTCACATTAAACTAAAATGGCCGGTGGGCTGACTAGCCTTGGCTGCGCAGCTCTGGATTTCTGGCAAGGACACAAACACACTGGAGAGGGACCAGCCATCTGTTCCCGGGAAATGTGCTGAAGGAACCGGGATACAGCAGCGAAATCCCCACAATAAACATGTACAAAACCCAATGAAGCATTTTATTAACACATATTTCCCTCCTTTTTATTAACAAATAGAAAACAGACCGCCTGTACAACAGATTGAATGCCGTTTTGTCTCTATGCGAACACAAAGTCAAATGAATTCTTCCCGTGTCCGCATTTTTCATCTTACTTTGTGCTCAGGCCATAGGAGGAAAGAAACACTTGAGTATGCACATATTTTCAGTCTGATGATGCTGTCGCGACGTTACGGGAGATTTGTCTTTACGAGCCACAGTGAGAAATGATCGGATGGCCGTTAATAATACCACACGTGGAGAGTCCCAGCCTCAGCCGTCTGTTTTCTGCCGCAGACTTTCCCCACTTCAGCTGCTGGTCTGAGCGAATGACGGATGGCCGTGGTTCTACTGGAGGTACGTGATGGCTGTACATGTGTGTGTGTGTGCAGGTCTGTCGGGTCGAGGCCTGATCTTTGACCCCAGCTGACCCGGCATGGGATAAAGACTTTGCTGTGGCAGCAGGAACACCATTTCTCTTGTCTTTCTTTCACTCAAGAATGGAGGGTTTCCAGAAAGCGTCTGCTCACTGCTATTCAGAGCAGAACGGCTCTGAACGCGTTCTCTCGTTTCATTGGTTTATTCAGTGTCCTTAACGACGGCAGGTTCATTAAGCTCACTAACTCGGGTGTAAGCGTTTCATCTCTTTTATACTTGATTATACTGTTTTATAAAGTATCAGGAGGTGAAAAGGTTGTTTTAATTGTATATTTTATAAAAGTTCCCCTTTTCCCACCAAATAAAAGTAGATCATTAAAATATAATAATGATAAAAAGTAAGAAATCATCAGCAGCTCTGAGTACACCTCTTATAGTATTAGTAACCTGGGTCATGTGAAAATACATGTCCACATGTGCTAAAAATAACTGAACATACATACGAAAAAATTATAAAGGAATAATAATAATATAAGAAAAAAATAAGAATAAAAAGAACCCCTCAGATATGCAATGATCAGCATAAATGATACAAATATTGTATTTTCTGACAGATATACCAATCGTAATGATGATACAATAATAATAATGATAATAAAAACAATGGTGGATGATGTTGATCGATATGAAAATGAAACGATCGTAATCATAAAGCAGTAAGGTAATACAGAGACAGGAGCTGAGCATTAGAGACCAGAAGGAAGCGTTTGTTGCTGTTTTCAGAAGAGGAACAGGGTTGCGCTGAAGTTCCAGTGATCTCTCCTCTCTTCTGATTTGCTCTCTCTCTCTCTCTCTCTCTCTCCAGCAGTGGTGACTGAATAGGTAGGATGATTATGGCTCAGAAACAAGTGGCGGCTCTCCGTTCTGAGGCATTCTGGGAGTGGTTATGTTGCATAGTGATCGAAGCTGCCAAGGTACTCCAGAGCTGCTCTGTAGCACAGCTGGTACTGGTCCTGCACACACAGTTAAAACACGCATGACTAAAACACCCTGAACTAATGCTTTGCCTAAAAATGAAAAGTCTGATTTGGAGGAATGACGACAGGTGAACTATTGCTGGGGTGTCAGGTTTACCTCGGTCTGTACCATGGCAGGTCTCTGCGTGCGGAGCGTTTTTATGGTCTGGAACATGTCCACCACCCCTTCATACCTCATCCGCTCCAGAACAATACTTAAAGTGATGAAGACCCCTGTTCTGCCCACACCAGCACTGAGACAGAGAGAGAGACAGCAGTTCAGCACACATACTGTACACACAACATCTAGAGGTCAAATATTTGGGGTCGATAAAATTTGTTTCAAATAAGTCTCTTCTGTTCACCAAAGCAGCCTTTATTAACTGATCAAAAATATAGTAAAACTGTAATATTGTAAAATATTTGTACAAATTAAAATAGCTGTTTTCTATTTGAATATATTGTAAAATGTAATTTATTCCTATGATGAAAAGCTGAATTTTCATAACCCATCATTACTCCAGTCTTCAGTGTCTTTGCTGCTCAAGAAGCATGTTGAAAACAGTTGGGCTGTTTTTTGTTGAAACCTTGACCAGTTTTATTTTTGTTTTAATTCAATTTTATTTTTTGATTAATAGAAATTTCAAAAGAACAGCATGCATAATAGAAATATTTTATAACACTATAAATGTCTTTACTGTAACTTTTGATCAATTTAATGCATCCTTGCTGAATAAAAGTATTAATTTCTTGGTCACACTTTATTTTAGGGTCCAGTTCCCATGGTTAACTAACTATTAACTACTTTTGCCTCAGTAAACTCCTAATTACTGTAGTTGTTAAGTTGAGGTATTGGGTAGAATTAGGGATGTAGAATATGGTCATGCAGAATATGTGCTTTATAAGTACTAATAAACAGCCTATATGCTAGTAATATGCATGCTAATAAGCAGCTAGTTCATAGAGAGAACTGGTTCCTATACTAAAGCGTTACCAATTTCTTTTGGGGGAAAAAAAAAAATCTTTCTGACCCTACACTTTTAAACTGTCATGTACAGATACAAAGTCGGCTTTGGGATACAGTCAGTAAAATCTTAGACTGAGACATTTTTAATATAGATTTACCACATTTTGAATATTCAATATATCAGCCAGTGCTACTACAATCACACACTACATGCTCTGCTGCGCTCGTTCATTCTGCTTCTCACCTGCAGTGAACAGTAATTGGTCCGTCCTGACCAAACTGCTCCTTGGTTTTGTGGACTTGGCCAATGAAATCAATAAAGCCCTCTCCTGTCTTTGGCACGCCTTGTTCTGGCCAATCGGTGAACTGAAACTGACGGATCGTCCTAGACTGGCCATCCTGAGAGAGAATGAGAGTGTGATTTAAAGACACAGCACAGCTGAAGTCATGCGGTCACGTCTGATCGACTCACCCTGGCGTCTGTGACTTTAAACTCCCGTAGGATGTACTGCGGCATGTTGTATTCAGCCATGGGGTCCACGACGAAGTACTGGTAGCGTGCGGATCTCTCTGCAGGCCAGTACTGATGACACTTCTCCTGTGGAGCCAAACACTTGATTATAAGAGCAGTGCACACTTGGCTCAATTGCTTTGTCCAAAACCCAATGTTATTTTTTGCCTTTTGTCTCTGTGGTGTAATGCACAGAATGACAGCCTGAGGCCAGCATACAACCAGCTGATTTTCAGCATCATTAAAATTTCATTAGTCATTTGAGAATCAAGAGTATTTTTTGTAACAATTGCAGCAGAGTACTCAGACATTTTCCTGCATCCACATTGCATGTTTATTTGGTTATTATTATTTGATACACTTAAATCAGTCCCTTCAGGGTTTTGCGATCATGCAGTTGCAATAATGAATGCAAATATAACCAGGCTTCTCATTATTTGCAGCAGCTTGCATTTTTGCATTAGTTTTCCTTTTAGAGAATCAATAGTAGCTAATCAAAATCTATAAATCTGAGCCCAAACAAATTGATCAATGTGTGTTGAACTGCCAAACCACAAATGATTTCAGTAATTATGCACAAAGTTATTTACAGTAACAGTATTATATAGTATTGAGCAGTATTAAATAATGATGGTAATGGTAGGTTTTTAATGCAAAACCATGCAAAATTTGCTGCAAATATCACCACAATTTTTTTGAGAAAAGCTGCAGCAAATTCAGTGACTTTGGGATGCAAAATTAGAAAAAAAAGTCTTGCGAAATCCTGATGGGACTGTTGAATGATTCATAAAAAAAGAAAGCAGATCCATGTAAATCTTCTGCTCATTAAAGCTGCACATGAACATATATTTTCCATGACCTTGAATAGACTAACAGGCAATCACACACAAAAAGTTACTTCATGAGCTGCATTATAATTCAGTCTACTATTACAACTGTTTCTTTGTGCAGTTCTCCTCTTCATATTTCTATAAACTTCACGCTTTGCTGCTAAAAAGCAAAAGCGTTGCAATGTGTGACATGGAATCAAAGATTTAAACAGCTGAATGTGTTTTGAGCAGAGCTGCCTTAAAGCGTTTTATTTTAACAGCATTGATACACAATTTTTGTTAATATATATTTTTTAAAATATGTCTATATACATTAGTTTTTATTACATTTTAGTTTTCAAGTTTTAGACTTTTTAATTTAGAATTTAGAAACTAAATGAAAATTAGAAATGTTGCCTTGGCAGCTAGCTGAAAAATAAAAAATATATATTTTTCTATTTTATTTTATGCCAAGTAATGAAAATGTTTTTATGGTTTTAATTTTAGTTAATGAAAATAACCCTGCCTTAAAGTCGACAGGACATCAAAGATGAACAACATTTCACAATCCAATCAATTCCCAATGGATGCATTCAAGAGCTGCCCTACATTTTGCCGTTTTGAAGATCTTGTTTCACTCACATTACAGAAGTAAAATGGGTTTCAAAGAGCCATTCACATTGACTTTGTTCACTGTGCAGGAATGTGAGAATCTGGCACAGTGACAATGGCGTGGACTCACCCGTCCCATCTCTCTGAGCTTCGTCAGCATCACCACGATGGTGGAGTTGTGCTCCCAAAGCATCCTCCAGAAGTCCTCTGTGGTTTCAGAGAGAGAACCTTGTGTGGCGATATACGCCTTCTGCTGCCTGCAGGAACAACACAAGAAGATACAGCTTAAAAACACATGAATCTAGACAGAATGCTAATGAACAGCTCTCTCCAGGAGTGACGTGGGAAGATTGAGGGAAGAGTGATTCCTCTAGTCTAACAGCAGGAGGCGCTGCTGCTCCGTCACTGTGATCATAAATGCACAACACAGACTGACCGGAAGATAAAGCTGCAGTAAGAGAGAGAGAGAGAGAGAGAGAGAGAGAGAGTGTGAGACGGGTGAGAAAGATGCTGGGTGTGGAGGATGAGACAGAGAGACAGAGCTCTAGATCACTCTGACTGTGTCACGCTCATGCTGGTGTCCTGCTGTGAGATCCCGAGGTCTCTGCTGAAGGGTTTTTTGAGATAAACTGAGCAAATGCATTTCTGACGTGGTTGAACAAGGGCAGGAAATGTCTAATCTGACTTTAGCAGCCTCATTATTCTCTTTCAGTGATTTTATTAGTGCAGGACTCTGAGTAACTGTACTGCCGCTTAAATCTATCTATCTATCTATGACTGCATGACCTTAACACCTTCAAACTTTTGGCCAGGCTTTCTCAAGTCAACATCAAAACTGAACTTTTAATCCTTTTTTTATGACATCGTGGTGAGGTGATAATGTTGTGAATACCTCTTATATTGAAATCCTAAATTAATGTCCAATGTCTTGGACTACAATATCTTACATCACTGCTTATTTGCATAAAATGTAGCTTCCTTAGACACACCCATATTGTCAATGATCTGTGACTCTCACTGACTTCAGCACATTTGGTCACTGTATGAGTGAACGCATCTTCACGCAGGGCACACACACACACACACACACACACACATACACACACACACACACACACACGCTGAAAGCTTATCAAGCTAAAAGCATGTGAAAGCCCTTCTCCCTCTGTCCTTCATTACAAACACGATTACTGCCAATTACGCTGTTTACACTTCAGTACAGCGGCAGATGCAGTGGGAGCTCTTTGATTGGCCGTTAATTTGATTAAGGGCCAATAATGAGTCCAGATTCTTGACACACCTCCGCCCCTCCGCCTCACATGACCCCTCAGCAGCAGCAAAGGAAGTGCTTGATTCAGGAAGTTAGTAAAGGACTATTCATATGAAGCACTGATATTTGCAGTAAATGTTCACTGTGGCAGAAAGTTGCACTGAATCAATGATTCTCAGAGACTATAGTCACAGCAGACCACATAGATACTGTCTTAGGTAATGCAATTTTAATATCCATTTTGTCCAGTTTTTCATTCAAAGGAAATTCTTCAATAAAGTGTTTTCAATGCACAATCCATCGAACAGACTACAGCAAAAAGAAGAGATATGAAAAGTAATTGCTTACAAAATAAGCATGTCTTTAACATGAACACTATTCATACTAAATTAATCCTACACACTCTGAAATACTTAACTCTGATTGGTCAGTCGCAGCATTCTGATGCCATACTTCTATAATGAGTGCTGAACTGTCTAATTAGCAGTGTCGTCATTCTTCTAAACTTCTCATTTTGTGTTCCAAAGAAGAAGGAATAAGTCAAATGATAAGACATAATGACATGACGATTCATAAATAGTAACAGAACCAGGCATGTGGTCAGCTAAAAATAATGTAAAAATACATTTTATTATAAAAAAATCATATAAAAATATTGTTTTTATTTTATTATTTAAATTATAAAAATTAAATCAAAGAAATATTACTACTGCAGTAATAACACTGAACTGTAACAGAAATAAAAGCAGGTATTTATTATTATTATCATTTAAAATAATAATAATAAATATTTTTATTTTCTTATTATTTAAATATAAAAAATTAAGCCAATAAAGAAATGTTACTATTATTCAATATTAATATTGTATTGTAAAATAAAAAAACAAGTATTTATTATTATTATTTATTTAATTGTATTTTACAGAACAACAGTAAAATTACAATAATATTTATTCCTAACTAATGCACTTCTCATTATAATTGGTTGGTGTGTGATGCATTTTCAAAGGCACGTTATAAGTGTCCCAAACTCACAGCACTGGTGAAGATTTCATGTGGAGCAGCATTCACCGTTAACCGAGACACTGAAAACACTGAATCATGAGCCACTCGCGCATAAATGAACACAGTGTCGTGCTTCACTCTGAAACGCACACACAGCTCATCAGACTACATATTTACACAATTAATTCACAGTCATTAACATTCATATTTCAGGTCGGAAGATAAATCTGTATCAATTTGGAAAAATATCAATGCTAGGAATGTTGTTGGTGGAATTATGCCTTAACTCTGTGTCTGAGCGGTGGGCTTGACTCAAACCCACTGCAGTCTGAACGTTTATCTGTGCGTCTGTGATGGATTGAGCTCTTCATGGAGACCGGACTCCTCATGATGGGTAATCCTTTTATTTGTGCGCTGAACTGTGTGCATCACCTGTCAGCTCGGGGCCACAGGGCCACGTCGATTCCCCAGTGCTGATAGCGCTCCAGTTATGGACAGTCCTGCCAATAAGAACAATTTGTCCTGACAACTAGCAGCACAAAGGCAGTAGACACGCAGACGCAGACTTCCGAGACGGGCCATGACTCTGAGCTGTCACATCCAGCAGGAGTCAAAGAGACGGGGGACAGTGACGGAGAGACTCGCTGCCGTTCGTGGCAGCAGCACCTCTTCAGAAGAACACGCCATCTTTCATCCGATTTCTCCAGAGTCTGATTCACAGTTGGTCTCAATTGGTTCTCAGATCTCTGTTTATGACTTCAGGCAAAATTCTGAATAAGATCTGGCTCCCTTTCACTTTACGAGTGAGTTTGAATCAAGTTAGCCGCACTACAGGATGTTGAATTGAAATGACAGGAAGTGGAATTTACTGAATTGCAATCGCAAACCCTGATTCACATACCTGTATCCGTCGATGAAGCTGGAGTTAATGTAGTCGGACCCCTCCACCCCTCTGATTGGCTGCAGACACACACGGCTGGACTCGAAGGGCATGATGTTGACCAGTCGGTTCTTGAATTTGTTGCACGGCAGACTAGCGCTGATGAATCTAGAGGTGTGTGCTTTAGAGTTGGCCAGTTTCTGCAGTGAGAAAAGACACAGAACACATATAATAAATATTTTTATTTTCTTATTATTTAAATATAAAAAATTAAGCCAATAAAGAAATGTTACTATTATTCAATATTAATATTGTATTGTAAAATAAAAAAACAAGTATTTATTATTATTATTTATTTAATTGTATTTTACAGAACAACAGTAAAATTACAATAATATTTATTCCTAACTAATGCACTTCTCATTATAATTGGTTGGTGTGTGATGCATTTTCAAAGGCACGTTATAAGTGTCCCAAACTCACAGCACTGGTGAAGATTTCATGTGGAGCAGCATTCACCGTTAACCGAGACACTGAAAACACTGAATCATGAGCCACTCGCGCATAAATGAACACAGTGTCGTGCTTCACTCTGAAACGCACACACAGCTCATCAGACTACATATTTACACAATTAATTCACAGTCATTAACATTCATATTTCAGGTCGGAAGATAAATCTGTATCAATTTGGAAAAATATCAATGCTAGGAATGTTGTTGGTGGAATTATGCCTTAACTCTGTGTCTGAGCGGTGGGCTTGACTCAAACCCACTGCAGTCTGAACGTTTATCTGTGCGTCTGTGATGGATTGAGCTCTTCATGGAGACCGGACTCCTCATGATGGGTAATCCTTTTATTTGTGCGCTGAACTGTGTGCATCACCTGTCAGCTCGGGGCCACAGGGCCACGTCGATTCCCCAGTGCTGATAGCGCTCCAGTTATGGACAGTCCTGCCAATAAGAACAATTTGTCCTGACAACTAGCAGCACAAAGGCAGTAGACACGCAGACGCAGACTTCCGAGACGGGCCATGACTCTGAGCTGTCACATCCAGCAGGAGTCAAAGAGACGGGGGACAGTGACGGAGAGACTCGCTGCCGTTCGTGGCAGCAGCACCTCTTCAGAAGAACACGCCATCTTTCATCCGATTTCTCCAGAGTCTGATTCACAGTTGGTCTCAATTGGTTCTCAGATCTCTGTTTATGACTTCAGGCAAAATTCTGAATAAGATCTGGCTCCCTTTCACTTTACGAGTGAGTTTGAATCAAGTTAGCCGCACTACAGGATGTTGAATTGAAATGACAGGAAGTGGAATTTACTGAATTGCAATCGCAAACCCTGATTCACATACCTGTATCCGTCGATGAAGCTGGAGTTAATGTAGTCGGACCCCTCCACCCCTCTGATTGGCTGCAGACACACACGGCTGGACTCGAAGGGCATGATGTTGACCAGTCGGTTCTTGAATTTGTTGCACGGCAGACTAGCGCTGATGAATCTAGAGGTGTGTGCTTTAGAGTTGGCCAGTTTCTGCAGTGAGAAAAGACACAGAACACATTCATATTGCTCTGAAATCCTGAAACAGAATCATACACACCACTAATCAAAGGTTGAAAAAACAAAGGATGCATTAAATTGGTCAAAATTGACAGTAAAGACATTTATAATGTTACAAAAGATGGAGTTTTACATAAATACTGTTCTCTTCATCAAAATTATGACGGGTTCCACAAAAATATGAAGCAGCACAACTGTTTTCAACACTAATAATAATCAGAAATGTTTCTTGAGCAGCAAATCAGCATATTAGAATGATTTCTGAAGATCATGTGACACCGAAGACTGGACTAATGATGCTGAAAATTCAGCGTTGATCACAGGAATATATTACATCTTAATATTAAAAATTACAAAATTAAATTGCAATAATATTACAGAATATTAAAATATCTGATCAAATAAATGCAGCCTTAGTGAGCAGAAAAGCTTCTTTCAAAAACATGAAGAAATCTTACAGACTCGCTGAGGACAATTAATAAGATGACATTTTAGCCTTTCAGACATTAGCATACTGTCATTTTCTTTTTCTTTTTGTGAGTTTAGAATAAATATTCCATAAAATATGTTTCTTTTAAATATCAGCTTTTTGTGTGCATCTTATCTGGCATCATTATACTGTATAATAATCCATTCTAGATATTACATTCAGCACTGGTCATTAATCAGAAGGAATGCTCCGAGTTCAATAGTTAAGCTCAAGTTCAGTATTCATGGCATAATGTTGATTACCACACTGAAACTCTAAAGCGTTTTTTCCATCGTCAACATTTGACATCTTTCTTTGGGGAGAATGAGGTGTTTTGAGTGCCTTTGTTCTAAACCTTCAAATGATGCAAAAAGATGCATCATGGGAAAAACAGCCCATTAAAATCATTCATGTTGTGCAGGGAAAGCCAAACGTGTTTCCACACAGCTCTGACTGCACTGGCCCTTCAGAATCACACCATTCTTATCCGCTGGTGAAACAACATCAAGCATTAAAACCTGATTACATCCTCGGCGGATCTATAATGATCCTGCATGTAAAGCAGCTCTGAGCCTCATCATCCGGGCTGTGGAGCGTCTCTGAGGACAGCTGCTGTATGTTAAATGAGTGTTTGCATGCATCTATAGCTCTCACCACAGTCACAGATACGGCCTGTCAGCTTCTCCATCAGCACCAACTTACTGTTTAAGCAGTTAAAATGTGCACTTTTGCTTTGGTAAAATTTCAGCGTGCATATCTTTTCTCTTTCTACAGCAGTTGTTCTAGTGTAGCATTACTGAAAATGAAATGAAGCTTAACCATTATAGATGAGAATCATAAAGAAATGACTAATTCAGATTCAGATTCTACACAATCATTCCGGTTCCGTTAACAAAATGAGAAATGTTTTTGAATAAACACTTGTTCTTGATTCCCAATCAGTGTTATTTTAGTGTTATTTATTTACTATTATATTGTTTATTAATATTTGAATGAGCTTTTTATGGTAACACTTTACAATAATGTTTCATTTGAGAACAATACTTATATAGCATTTATTAATCTTAGTTAATGTTAAGTTTAACATTTACTTATTCACTATTAAAATCAAAAGATGTATATGTTAACATTAGTTAACAATTAGTTAGGATATTTTTTAACTTAAATTTTTTATCATTTTTGAAGTGAGACCTGATTTTAAGCGTTACCTTTTATTTTTTAGATTTTCAGGTTTCATTTTAGTAATTGTGTTATGTGCATTCATTCATTCGTTCATTCATTCAGTTTTAGTTTTTATTTATTTCCAGTTAATTTAATAATCAACATTATTACGTTTACTTAACTTGAGCTTAACTTGAAGCATTCCCTATATTTCATTACCAATGACCAGTGCTGATTCTTATACCTAGTAATTTAAATGCTTGAGCTTAAAACTTATTTCAGTCATAATAATTAACATTTATGAAGCACTTATAATTTAGTTTGTTATCATCCAATATTTATATTTCAGTTTATTCCAGCTGTATTTCTATTAACAAAACAGTTTTAGTTAACAACAATAACCCTGTTCCCAACTCCAAAAATGAGGCAAGATAAATATCTTTTGCATGCTAATCAGACATTTTAACAAGCAACAAGGCATAGGTTTGTCATTTGGTTCCATAGAGCTGTACACTAAACATCAAACACGTTCTGATCGGCTGTGATTTTGTGCCTTCATGCTGTGTTTTGCTTTCAGTGAGAAGAGAAAAACGGACACAGGAACCCTGTTGTGACGTGGCAGGTTAGGATGAAGTCTGTGTGTGTTTTCTGACCTTAAACTCCAGTTCCATGGCGGTGACAGTGTCTCCTGGTGACACCTGCGTGAGTTTCTGGATGTGTGTGTACAGGCTCCGCGCCGGGACCTCTGTGTTCCCGCAGGTGGCGGCCTCCAGCAGGGCCTCGTGGATGAAGATATACTGATCTTCCGTCTGCACCATGTAGTTCCTCTGAGCGCGCATGCAGGTCACGTGACCGTAGATATCCACCGACTTCTCGTGCTTCATCCGCTCCAGCATGGCCTCTATTATGATAAAACAGCCTGTCCGACCCACGCCAGCGCTGCCATGGAAACACAGATGTAGACTGAATTCACAGACACACGCGCATGTTAATAGATATGTGAGCAGACATCATGCTCTACCTGCAGTGCACCACCATGGGTCCGGCGTCAGGTGGGTTGCAGGCCTTGACCCTGCGTAGAAAGGCTAAAATTGGCGTGGGGTATTCGGGAACGCCGTGATCCGGCCAGGCCATGAACTGGAACTGCCGAACTTCCCGTTTCTCACTTGACCCATTCTGTTTCAAGACATTTAAAGAGATACAGTCAAACCAAAATGTATTCAGACACCTTCAACATTTCTCACATTATGTCACAGTTTATTCGCTATAGTTTAGAAAATGGTAATAAAATATGACAAGAACTCAGAGTTAAACTGTGTCAGGACAAATTCATCTTGATAATGTCAGATAACTTTGATAGAAAGGTATGTAATGAATTACAATCAACCAAAAATTATTCAGCTGTTAAATTTATGTATACAATTAGATAATACCAATTTAGGTCAACCAATTATCAAGCAATACTTAATTCTGTTCAGTCTGTGGTGTAAAAAGGTATCTATCTATCTAAATGTTGGAATTGCCATGTGATGTGCATAAACTATGTAAGTTAAATATATTGTAAAATATAATAAGTTAAATATAAATGTACAGTCATTATTTAATCTACTATAAAAGCCTATATAATTGTTATAAAATCTTTTTCTAATTAAACATTTTTTTGAAAATGTTGCTAGTATCCTAGTATCCTAGCAGACTGTAAGTTACCAAGAGGCAGATTTGTCTTCTACTGTTAATTAAATTTGGATGTTTTTGTGGAACTTTTTCCATCTTCATTTATTCAGATCCGCTGTGCAACATCTCAACATCACAGAAATACATTTTCAGCATTAATGAGCAGAAGCTTTAGTCATATGTGTGAATGCAGTATATCTGACTGTTTAAAAAATGTGTCAAACATAAATCAAAATGAACACCTAAAACTTATTTTCTGGTTGTTTTGTGTATAAGGTTTTCATTACATTATATTTTTCAACAGAATACAATTTAAATCAAATAATTTCTGACTGCTGGTACAATCAAAAACAAAAGAAAAATCAAAATATATGTCAGTTACATCATCTATAAACTGCCACACACAGACCTTATAGAGAGCGAAGGTCCTGACGCTGTAGGTGGCTAACTCCACTGTATCCAGCATGGACACTTGAATCATGCCGTATGTCTCTGTTCCACGGCTCGGCCAGTACTGATCACACTTCACCTGCAATCACAGACACACACAAACATCACACATCAGGGACCATAAGAGCACAGGAGACGGGTGAGAGGAGGCCAGCTGAAGCAGATGGGGGCATCACGCACCACAGACCGGCCAGAACTGTGGCGGAACCTCCGGCTCTGATAACACACACGGGTCACATACTGTGAACACACACACACACACACACACACACTGAGCACAGAGGGCTGTGTGAGTAATGGCCGGCAGGTCTGGGGTTGAGATGCATTAGAGTGACCTATCTGGGCTTCCGTAAACACTGCTGTCCTTCCTCAACAAAGAATAGGTACAATCTGTGCACTTCTTCAAGCTGATTAATAAATATGGCTGATTAACCCAACGCCCATAATTTTGCATCTTTAAAGTGAACAAAGTATTTTTTTCATTTTCCCAATTGAGGATGTTCCTGATGTCCCGTTCATCAAACCTTTCATTTGAATTAAAGAAGGAAATAAAGGCAATTCCTATTGTGGAATGAATATCATCCTGTTTCTTCTCACGATGCACAATATATTTGTGACAATAGAGCACAGCAAGTGCAACTGTGTATTACAGTGTGTTTGTCTACAGTATATTCAAACATTTGAATGACTTTAAGCACATATTCTAGAATGAAACTTTGCAGAAAAACAAATAAATAAATACACAAATAAAATTACATTTGTATAGTACTGATCTACAATATTGGCCACCATATCAAAAAAGTATGATCATTATTATTATAATTTTTGGTAACACTTTACAATAAGGTTCCATTTGTTAATATTAGTTAACTACTTTAGTAAACATAAACTAACAACAATGAAAAATACTTCTAAAGCATTTATTAATCTCAGTTAATGTTGATTTGCCAATACATTATTAAAAAATTTCATCTTTTAATGTTATTTAATGGACTTAAGCTAAAATGGACTATAAATGGAAAATCTATCTATCTATCCATATGTACTGTATCTCATCAATTGATATTATACAGAAAATTATAATATAATCGTGAATCGTGAGGTACATAATTCCACTAGAAAGCTTGCGTCGAATCACATTCATGTATATTGAGATTGACCATGTGGAGGAAAAACAGAATGACCATCTGGTCACACGGCAGGTGAGGGAACATGTGATGCCTCCCTCTCTCACAAACACACATGCACACACATCACTTCCTGTTCAACAGTCCTATGAGGACACTTATGCTCACTTCCTGTCCTATGTCATTCACAGACAGGGCACGTGTTTGCATGTGTCCCCGAGGCTTTTGGGATATTATCTGACATCCTAGAAATTCAAAAATGAAATCTCTGTCATCATTTGCTGTGATCTTTATAGTGATTAATGGTCTTTATAAATTCAAATTTTGAACTGTTCCTTCAGATTGTTTATTTAATTCCATATAAAGCCCAATACACTCTCCTGACAGATGTTGATCTCTTGTCATCACAAAACCCATTTCTCTCTTTGGGGCAGGAACCAGACAACACGAGATGAGGAGTAAAATCTCACCCTGCTCTTCTCCTCCAGTCTGGTCATCATGACGATAGTGCTGGTCCTCTGCTCCCACACCATCCTCCAGAAGTCACTGAACGTCTCGGGCAGAGGACCCTGAGTGGCGATGTAGGCGTTCTGCTTGCGGTAGCCGTCAATGTAGTTTCCATTGATGTAGTCGCTCCCCGGTACACCTGCGGTTCAGCAGTGCAGTGTTAACACACAACGCAGGGCTGAGAACTGAGCGCTCATTGTACTGATGGCGTTGGTAAGCCCACGTGGAATCTGCACACTTTTATTATTTATTTTCGAGTTATATTTTAAAATATATTAAACAGCATTGAAAGTACCTTGAAATTATCCAAAATATTTAATAAGCAGGCATGATTTAGACTTAATGGCCTTTCACAGAATTCAGTAGGTGCAGATTCTGTGCAGAACTGGTCATTGCTGAATGACTCTTCATTTTGACGTCAAGTTAAAAACACTACTGTTTAAAAGCGTGAGGTCAGTAAGATGCTTTTGAAGAAATTAATACTTTTATTCAGCAAGGATGCATTAAATTGATCAAAAGTGACAGTGAAGACATTTATAATGTTACAAAAGGTTTCTATTTCATAAAAATGCTGTTCTTTTGAACATTCTAGAATCTTGAAAAAAAATGCATCATGAAACATATTCGGCAGCACAACTGTTTTCAACATTGATAATAATCAGAAATGTTTCCTGAGCGGCAAATCAGCGTATTAGAATGATTTCTGAAGAATCATGTGACACTGAAGACTGGAGTAATGATGATGCTGAAAATTCAGCTTTGATCACTGGAATCAATTAGATTTGACCATCTATTCACATAGAAAATAGTGATTTTAAATGGTAATATTTTGATGTATTTTCGATTAAATCAATGCAGCTTTGGTGAGCAGAAGAGACTCAAAAAAGCATTAAAAAATCTCACTGACCTCAAACATTCTGACCTCAAACTACTATAAGTACGTGTGTTTTTGGACTCACCATCAATGGGGGTCAGCACGACTCTGGAGTGATCGTAAGCGATGACGTTTGCATAGCGGTTCTTGGGCTTGTTGACCTCCAGGTTGGAGTTTTCCCAGGTGAACTGCTGGCTGGGGTCAATAGACTGCAGAACAGAAAGACAAAACATGAGAACATTTGTTAGAAAGCTTGACCAACATCACTGACAGAAAAAGGAAGACAACAGACACATTTAACCTTTGAAATGATCCAGTTCGAATACTAAACATCACATGAGAAGGAGAAAAAGTTAATAATTCTTTCATATCATTCAAATCCTCTGCAGACTGTTTTCCAGCAGGTTTCCTAAATACGCGCTCATCTGTCATTATTTGCCCGTTATTTAGTCCTGCCACCAATCTTACGCCACTGGTTGAGCCAAACCATGACATGTCTACTCATGAAAACCTATTTTACTCTAACGTGATTTAGTGAAACAGGATATTCAATAAGAAAAGAAGATACAGGGAAACAGTATAATTTAATGAGGGAACTGACTGGAAGCTCATATGACAGGTGACTAGAGAGAAGGGGTTTAAAAAAATAAGAGGGTTTGGTGACGTCAGCTAAAAACTGAAGTCATTCAGAGGTGGAGCAAGCTTCATTTCAACTTGATGAAAGTTTACAAAGCCATGGAATAATGTGCACCAATGAATCATTCATAATAAGATAAGTCTGGCACAGCAGGAACTGATGCTGCAAAACCTAGCAGACGCACCACACTGTGAATCTCTACCTTGACCTGCCCACGATCACGGAGCCGGAATCGGCCCGCGCTTTAGAGACCTGCCTAATCCAGCCCTGCTGTTACCATAGCGATGAGATAACGGGTCAGAGGGTGAGGTTCAGACGTCTGCTCTCTAGTCTCCCTGCATCACATTACTGCAGCTCTGAGACGCTGCATTCTAGCAATTATGATAAACAAAACATATCAACTATATGAAACATAATACCATTCAAAAGTTCGGGGAGGGTCGATATAAATCTTATGCTTGCCAAGGTTGCATTTATTTGACCAAAAATACAGTAAAAACTGTAATATTGTGAAATATTATTACATTTTAAATGACCTGTTTTCTATGTGAATATATGTTAAAATGTAATTTATTCCTGTGATGCAAAGCTGAATTTTCAGCATCATTACTCCAGTATTCAGCGTCACATGATTCTTCAGAAATCATTCTAATATGCTGATTTGCTGCTCAAGAAACATTTCTGATTATTAGCAATGTTGAAAACTACCGCATATTTTTGCATATTTTTCATGATTCTTTGATGAATGAAAAGTTCAAAGAAACAGCATTGATTTGAAACAGACATCTTTTTATAACATTATAGATGTCTTCAATGTCACTTTTGATCAGTTTAATGCATCCTTGCTGAATAAAAGTATTAATTTCTTAAAAATAAAAAAAAGTCTTAATAAGCCCAATCTTTTGAACGTGAGATGCGAATGCTCTTAAATGATGGTGGATGGTGACATGTACAGTTCATTCTAAGGGTAATGTGACATTCTTCTAGATGTATATGGAATGAAGAGCAACCAAAGCCTGATCTTCTGTCTACTAACAGATGGATTATGAAGAACCATAAATGAATAATCAATAATCACTACACATCTGCCATATTTCAAATGATTGTATGTCAGCTTAATCTGTCTAACAGCACAGTGTATTTTTATTTGATTGTGTGCATTTGTTTGTGGTTATGTACGATTATGTGTTTGTGATGAGGATTGTATTGATCTCTGGCAAAGGCTGCATCAATGCATTTAAAATAAACACACACAAGCCTTATGTGCTTTCTGTGTTTCATATCTTAACATTGTTAACCTGACAGTAATATTCACAAGAAGAAATCTGGAAATTTGGAGGCCAAAACACAACACAATCACAGCTAATCAGAAGAGTGTGTGACAAGTTCTGTCAGTTTGTTCGCACTTTAGATAAAACACAATTTCTATTTCTTGGACTTGCATGACACCTCTCCAGATGGCACTGATGGATTTGTCATATTATATTAATGTTTCTCTGCATCCACCATCAATCAGTTCTTTCTCATCTATATGTGATAGTTAATATACATGAGGAACGGTACTTCAGACCAATGGGTTTATGGTGTGAATATAACATAACTCTGACCTACAGTATGTTAAGTCTCCAGAGCAATGAAACAGCAACATCTGAGCAATAAAATATTCATCTGAATAGCACTTAATAGTGTCTCTCTGTCACATTATATAGTGAAATCTTCTCTCTCGTCTCTGTCTACTGTATGGGCGGCTATTCGTGTCTTATTAAGGAACACGTGTCTTATTAAGTGGTCTTCTGTTTTTTTAACTGTTAAAAACATCATAGGTTTTAATGCAGGTGTATGTATGATCTGAGGATGTGTTGTCCTCGTGTGCTGTTAGCTCTGTCCTGATCTGCGGTTGCTCTCCATTATAAAAGAAGGATAAATATAGCAGAGTACTTTTTAAAAATGTCTCTAGAAGTGAAATACATTCACAAAGTTAATATTAATGTACCAAAAAGCTTTGATGAGCTCGACTGAAGATCTGCTGGACATTTTCTTCATCTGGTAGCTCTCTGTTTTATTTAAATCTGTTGCACTGAGTACAGTATTATCGTGGCCACAGGCAATGTGGTTGTGCTGTTACTACACAACCTGCCCACAAACACACAAAAAGCTTTATGGTCTTCGTTTATGATATTCCTAGTTTAAGAACAAGTTTTAACATAAATTTTTTTAAAAATTCTGCATCTTTATACCATCGTGAGCAGATCATGGTCAGTCTAATGTAAACAAAAACTCATATAAAAATGTTTACACTTAAATAAAATCAAGCTGTTTAAATAATAATAAAAAAGTTTGACATATACACTACCATACAAAAATCTTGAGTTGGTATTTTTTTTTCAAATGTTTTTGAAAGAAGTCTCTTGTGCCCATCTAAGCTGCATTTATTTGATTAAAAGTACAGTGAAAACAATAATATTGTGAAATTACTATTTAAATTTTTTTATTTTATTTTGTCATATATGTTCAAATGTAATTTATTCCTGTTAGCAAAGCTGAATTTTTCAGCATCATTACATCATTCAAAAGAATAGCATTTATTTGAAACAGGAATATTTCTTAAAATTATACATGTCCTTATTGTAAGTTTTGATCAATTTAATGCTTCCTTGCTGAATAAAAGTATTGCTTTCTTTTAAAAAAAACTTTTGAATTGTAGTGTGTATGAAATAAAATGCACGCTGTACTCAGTTAGGAGGACATTCCCACAGATGACAGGCTCACACTGATCTATCTCTATCTTATTATTTACCTACAGATATAGTACTTTCTCTCCATCTTTGTACACAGTTCCCTCCCCATAAGCCTGTCTTTATCTGTTTATCCTGTTAGCTTCTTTTGTATTGCAGTTTAATGTGAGCCATTTGGTGTTTGATTAGATTACTGTTGCTCCCTCAGTATTTGATGTCTATATTAAGGTCTTGATTGTTTAAGTACTCAGAAGAGCTGCTCAAAGTACAATAACAATTCAAGCAGGCAGCAGAGTCCTGCCCCTTCCCCAAACACACACATACACACACACACACACACACACACACACACACTGCAGGATTAGCCGTCTAATAAAGCAGGTGACTCTCACACTCATTACACTCCTAATAGAGTCGTTTCCCAGCTTTAATTTCAAGCTCTGGCGATCTGGGTACTGCCTGAGATGTTGATGTGACCGTGTGTGTGTGTGTGTGTGTGTGTGCGCGTGTGTGTGGACTATCTGTAAATCCATGTGTAACTTGTAGTATTATGAAGATGCACAAGTTCTTAGTGTCATTGCAGCACATTTGAGTAATGCAGAGCAGTACTTGCTGAACATGAGATGTTGAAGAGTTCACATTCATAAAATCTTTCCGAGATTGTACGGTGAACACATTTAGCTGTTTGTCTGTGATGGCGTAGTCACAGCATCAGACAGTCGGACACAGGCCGTCCGCTGACTTTCTGAACAATTCTGCACACAAAAATGTCAACATCTGGCTCAAAATTAGCTCTTTCAATATGTTTGGCTGGCTTTATGCAATTTCTTGCAGTAGTTGGGGTTCATCAGTCCAACAAAGGTCATATTTTAAAGCAATAAGCGCTTCTGACAAAATAACTAATCACTGGATTTTTCAGTTAATTGCCAATTTCTTCAGTGTTTCAGTGATCAAGTTGGTTTATTATTGTGGTTTCAGCTATTTTGAATAGATCTGCCCCTAACTAATGTAAAGCATAAAAACTGTGGTTGGTAGCTTTACATGCTGTTCAGATGGGAGGTTTTCTAAAGAGAAACCAATATCAAATGTCTGGCCAAACTAGCAATGGAAGAACTCAATTCACTTTCACGTCTCATGATTGTTATTAACATGACTGTTATTATATTTGTTAATGTTTTTGAAAGAAGTCTCTTTTGCTCACCACGGATGCATTTATTTGATCAAAAATACAGTAAAAATAGTAATGTTGTGAAATATTACTAAAATTTTAAATAGCTGTTTTCTATGTGAATATATGTTAAACTGTAATTGATTGCTGTGATCAAAGCTGAATTTCAGCATCATTACTCCAGTCTTCAGTGTCACATGATTCTTCAAAAATCATTCTAATATGCTGATTTTCTGCTCAAGAAACTTTGCTGATTATAATCAATATTGAGAACAGTTATGCTGCCGAATATTTTTGTGGAAACCGTGATACATTTTACTTTTCAGGATTCTTTGATGAACAGAAAGTTCTAAAGAACAGCATTTATTTGAAACAGAAATCTTTTGTAACATTACAAATGTATTTACTGTTATTTTTGATCAATTCAATGCATTCGTGCTGAAAAAAAGTATTAATTTCTTACTGACACCAAACTTTTGAATGGTTAGTGATATGATTAGCACAGTTAAATGAAACAGACCTTCTTCTCAAACCTTATAAACAGAAACTTAAAACAACACTTTTTTGCTGCTGTTGAGAGACTAACAACTTTTTCAAAAGTGTGCTTAACTGTTTAGAAGCAGATCTCTTAGAAGTGGTAAACACCTCACTTCTTTCTGGGACTTTTCCAAACTCCCTGAAAACTGCAGTTGTTA